TAATGTCAGATCTCACTGTAATGTTTTACAACCAAGTGTCGGTATTGTCAGATTTCATTGTAATGTTTTACAACCAAGTGTCGGTCATGTCAGATTTCATTGTTATGTTTTACAACCAAGCGTCGGTCATGTCAGATTATACTGTAATGTTTTACAACCAAGTGTCGGTCATGTCAGATTTCATGTTTTACAACCATGTGTCTCTAATGTCAGATTTCATTGTTATGTTTTTCAACTAAGTGTCGGTAATGTCAGATTTCACTGTTATGTTTTACAACCAAGTGTCGGTCATGTCAGATCTCATGTTTTACAACCATGTGTCTCTAATGTCAGATTTCATTGTAATGTTTTTCAACTAAGTGTCGGTAATGTCAGATTTCACTGTTCTGTTTTACAACCAAGTGTCGGTATTGTCAGATTTCATTGTAATGTTTGACAACCAAGTGTCGGTCATGTCAGATTTCATTGTAATGTTTTTACAACCAAGTGTCGGTAATGTCAGATTTCACTGTTATGTTTTACAACCAAGTGTCGGTATTGTCAGATTTCATTGTAATGTTTGACAACCAAGTGTCGGTCATGTCAGATTTCATTGTAATGTTTTACAACCAAGTGTCGATATTGTCAGATTTCATTGTAATGTTTTACAACCAAGTGTCGATATTGTCAGATTTCATTGTAATGTTTTACAACCAAGTGTCGGTAATGTCATATTTCACTGTAATGGTTTACAACCAAGTGTCGGTCATGTCAGATTTCATGTTTTACAACCAAGTGTCGGGAATGTCAGATTTCACTGTTAGGTTTTACAACCAAGTGTCGGTAATGTCAGATTTCATGTTTTACAACCAAGTGGCGGTCATGTCAGAATTCACTGTTAGGTTTTACAACCAAGTGTCGGTATTGTCAGATTCATGTTTTACAACCATGTTTCGGTTATGTCAGATTTCACTGTAATGTTTTACAACCAAGTGTCGGTATGTCAGATTTCACTGTAATGTTTTTACAACCAAGTGTCGGTAATGTCAGATTTCACTGTAATGTTTTTACAACCAAGTGTCGGTAATGTCAGATTTCACTGTAATGTTTTTACAACCAAGTGTCGGTAATGTCAGATTTCATGTTTTACAACCAAGTGGCGGTCATGTCAGAATTCACTGTTAGGTTTTACAACCAAGTGTCGGTAATGTCAGATTTCACTGTAATGTTTTACAATCAAGTGTCGGTCATGTCAGATTTCATGTTTTACAACCATGTGTCTCTAATGTCAGATTTCATTGTAATGTTTTACAACCAAGGGTCGGTCATGTCAGATTTCATTGTTATGTTTTACAACCAAGTGTCGGTTATGTCAGATTTCATTGTTATGTTTTACAACCAAGCGTCGGTCACGTCAGATTATACTGTAATGTTTTACAACCAAGTGCCGGTCATGTCAGATTTCATGTTTTACAACCAAGTGTCGGGAATGTCAGATTTCACTGTTAGGTTTTACAACCAAGTGTCGGTATTGTCAGATTCATGTTTTACAACCATGTTTCGGTTATGTCAGATTTCACTGTAATGTTTTACAACCAAGTGTCGTTCATGTCAGATTTCATGTTTTACAACCATGTGTCTCTAATGTCAGATTTCATTGTTATGTTTTTCAACTAAGTGTCGGTAATGTCAGATTTCACTGTTATGTTTTACAACCAAGTGTCGGTCATGTCAGATCTCATGTTTTACAACCATGTGTCTCTAATGTCAGATTTCATTGTAATGTTTTTCAACTAAGTGTCGGTAATGTCAGATTTCACTGTTATGTTTTACAACCATGTGTCGGTATCAGTCAGATTTCATGTTTTACAACCACGTGTTGGTAATGTCAGATTTCACTGTATCGAAGTGTATGATATTGTGAGATTATTTCTAAATCAGCCCAACAATTAATTAAGAACATATTTGCGAGCTATTCATAGAGCATGCTTCAGGAAGATATTGTTTTCTTTAAAAGGCACTGAATGTGTCTGGTCCTCGTGTACACTTGTTACAGTAAAATGTACTTGAAATGTTATGAAATGGGTGTTAGAAGGCATAACATTCCAATAGAAAGATGTTATTGATGATATATACGACCGATATACAGATGTAGCAAGAGAGAGACATTTGCTAGAAGGCCGGATATTTTAGTCTTTGAGAACTGAAATTTCATATTGCAATTTCTAAATATATGTCTCTTTATCTACACTATTACTAAATATAATTTGTTTTGTCCCGAATAGCGTCGCGGTATTACTTAATACATGAACCTAGGAAACATAATAAAAAAAGACAAAAATAATATGAAAGATTGTATTTTACCGTTATATTATCCAAAATATAACAAAGTAGAATATTGATATGCAATATATAGCACTCCCACTAAGAAATTATACAAATCAGATGGCTGTAAAAAACAATACTGGAAAAGTATGAAACAATTATATGATATTACTTTAATAACGGAGTAAATCTTTTTAATACTAAAATTTAACACCAATATTACTTAAACCGATGTTATCAGATCTTATTAGTCGGTATTTATAATGAGATTTGGGTCACATAGAACATTTGCACTTATCATTTTGATTACTAACTCATTAAGTATAGTGAACTTTTCCAAACTATATTTAAATGTTTGTAACAAGTTTCTATAGTACATTGTATTCAGTATATTTGTATCTTATCTTTTGTATAACCTGTTTTCGAAACATGAACACAAGTTAAAGGGACACTTACGTGTGATAACGAGGTTATAACAACTGTGACGTCATAATCTGAACACGGGATATCACTTATTGATGTGGATGTCAAATTCATGTCAATTTCAGGTCAAATTTTCAGGTCAGTATTTGCTATCATGGACATTTTATCAGGTCAAATTGACATCAAGAAACTTTGCCTGTGATATAGTTATTGATAGTCCAAAACAGCGTTGCAGAAAACAATCGTAAACCGTTAACTAACAAAACAAAATAAATTTTAATGGTTAATGTATTTTGGACCTGGCTTAAGTTCTATAATAATATTTGATAAGTTTACCCAGATTTATATTTTACAGGTGATTGGAGTGATGACCTTGGCCATTGGCTGCTTACTTATCGCGGGAGAAAATATCACTGGTGGTTACTTGGTGGCACTGTTCAGCGCACTCCCTGAGGCATCGGGGTCAATAGGGTCATTGTTTACCTATGTTGCAGCAACTATTATTTTTGTTGGAGTGGCCATGTTTGTCCTTGGGACGTTGGGTTGTGCTGGAGCGTGCGGGGTCAACGCTCGCCTGCTATACACGGTTAGTTTACTGAACGATATAACTTTTATGAATGGTTGATCTTGGGATTACCAATTGCTTTCAAATCTAGATATTAAATAGGCAGATTGCGATCATTGCATTCGTTCGCTGCAATTAGAACCAGACCGAGATTAGACGAAGGGATAATTGATGTATTCAAATGCAACGCAATCAACCAATGTCCATGTATTCTGCAAAAGTGACATGTAAGTTAAACAAATATTTAAAAAAATCCCTTACAAGTTTAATATTCATGTATGTAAATGGAATAATTCATGTCTTTTTATATCACGTTCATCAAAACGTGATTTGATATAAATATTCTGTAAAATAGACAGGAAAAAGGATGAAACACATCCAAGGTTGCAATGGTCACAAATCTATGGCTGCCTCTCACAATTTGGGGTGACGTCATAACCAAACAGCCACATGTTACATAGCACTTCTGATGATGTATTATAAACTGTGTATTAGCCCCATCACAATAGGAAACATAACGTATTGCCCAGTTACTATTTGTCTTATATAAATATCACAGATCATGCACTACTTGATAGAAATATAAAATACAAGGGCGGAGGATATTCTCTCGGAAAGGATCGGATATAGATAGAAACCACGGACTAGAGGCGTTGTACGATATGGGTGAATAAGTAAATATTGCTCTTTGTTTGATAACAATGCTATTCTTTCTGTGATCATATTGTACGGTGGGATCGCTAAGTGCATGTTTAATTATACCAATCGATTCTCTTATAATTTGAACATTTTTGTAAATGACAGAAGGAGCGACCCTATTGAACGTATACTAATAATCAATATTTAATCCTACAACCTATCTATTATTTATATATTCATTACGTCGTCTGATGATTTCTGATTATCAAGGTTTAAGGCTTAGGTAGCTTGGTGACAACAGCCAAAATATAACACATACCAGTCAGATATATACTTATAATGTAAATTTGTATGGAAACATATGCGAACTCTCTTCTTATAATAAGTCACAAAATATAACACCTACCGGTAAGATATATACTGAAAATATGAACATATGAAAAATGTTTTCTTCAAATAAAGTCTCAAAATATAACAATGCATGCTTCACATAAACTCATCGCTATTTAAACGATTTTTGTCTTCTAGGAATAAACCAAATACGGTAAATGCAAAATGTCTAAATTAAAGCGAAAAATACAAAACACAATGACGGAAGGACGTTCAATGTCCATTAAAAACAATAAACGAAGAGACAAATGAAATAAGAGTAAAAGAGGAGCCATGTCCTCAGAAGAAAAAACCTTTTTCTGAAGCAGCTGTGACACACGTCATTATAATTATATAGGAAACATTTGTTGTACATAACAGTATTTCTCTGAACTATTTGTGGCAAATATTATAACATGCTTGTGTCTTATCGATATGCACGGACGAGTTATTGATGGTACATCAACGAAAGCAACAAGATACTACCCTTAGTGTCAGCAAAACAGTTATACGAACTGAAATTCGATAAAACTTGGGCGAAACATAAACGATACAGTATTTAGACCTGCTTAAGATAACTTAACGAAAGAAAGATGACATTTCCAAAATATTTTTATACATTGTTGATACGGACGTATTTGGTACATAGATATTTGTTTACAAACATATGTGAGTTATGCTTGTGTCCGACTTCACCAGACAATACAGTGAATGTTTTTATGTAATTTAATAAATCTACAATTCAGATCTCTTTGTATGTTTTTAGAAGTCTTTATCGTCGATAAATCGATCATTGTATTCTCTCCCGTTAATACACAGGTATGAAACGGAATTTTGCCTTGAACTATTGTGGACTAGAGTTCTTGTTAAGCGTTATTTATTTTACATATAGACACTATAGTATCCCTTATATGTATTACTCTGATCGATTGATACAAACAGACCTTTCGTTGACTTTGGACAAATATAACATATGTTTACTAATTTTTGTTTGACATGAAGAAACAGTGAAGATAATGCTTAGCAACTGGGGATCTCTCTATCGTTTTAATCTCGTGCCTTTTTTGTTCTTATTGTTGACTTTCGTTTGATACTCATACAACGAAGATTGGTTATATCAGTTGATACTGTAGTGTCTAGCATGAGTAGATTTATACTCTCAGTACTTTCTAAAACTAGTTTTGTGGTGGCAGCACTTCCATTACATATACTGTACCAACCCCATGCTAACTCTCACCTCTAACTTTAGCCTCCAACCAAAGTCATTTTATCGGTATATCTCCCAACATCAGCGGTTTGAGAACCAAACTAAGAAAATCTGACCCTTACCACACAGTATGACGTTCCTTTAGTCCTAACACCAACCTCTGAATCTGTCACTCCTGGCTAGTATTTAATTTTGCGATTCTATTAAAAAATAAAGCACAATGATATGTTTCAATATAGTTAGATATAGCATATAAAATGGGTAGGTGCATGAAATGTTCATTTGCGATCAACTCTCGCGAAGTTTTAAAACATTATACATACCACGGGAATTATGTCTGATTGACAGTAAGATATGCTGAATAATACAATGACACAAGATTATAATTTGGTTAAGTGGACACCAAAACATTGAATAGTGGGTTTGAAGACGTTTTTTCCTATTTTCCAGAATCAACAACGGCAACCATAAAACTTTGTATTTAATCAGACTGATTTAGGGACAACACAGTACTGATGGTTACTTAAAAGAATAGGAATTATTCATATAACCACTGTGTACTTTACATATGTGGCACCCTGTTAGATTTGTCTATTTATTTTAATCCTTTATAGTCCTAAAGATTCACTAAAATATATTGAGTCCAATAAGTATTACTTTGTATAATGTTGTGTCGTTGATTTTAATCCGTAATCCGCACTCCGCATCCGCAGTCACCTAGTCTCGTGTGTTACTTTCGTTTTGAATGGAATGTATGTGAGTGTGACATAATTGTGAACGTGATTGTATACCTGTTTGACCAGTGGCAAACTGACCTCTGACACCTGTCGCATTGCGTGGTATTTCCCGCGTTAATGTTTTATTTGCTTCTCTGTCCTTTCTTTTCTATTCACTTCCTATCTGCTCCTGGTAGAGGCAACATCGCCATATAGAGATACTTACAGCATATGCATACCTTGCAGATTATACTAGTGGATCCCCGGTACCACATACAGGGGAAATAAATACCCACTGAATCAAAGGCATATGGTACTCGTCATTTATTGCAAAAGAACCCAAACACCACAAATGCAACTTGCATACATCTGATAATAATAAACTAATTAACGGTTGATAAACAGCAGGTTCGTAAGTCAAAAATTTGTGGTAAAATTGGTTTGAAATAAACATAGACACAATATATCAAGTAACTCAGTCACTTTGACGAGGCGGGGGATAAAGTTGAATTCAAAAGGAGCATGAACTGCGGAAAACAACATCAAATAAATAAATAGAGGTTACACAACGAGTGGTTGTTGAATATTGTATTTATTTCACCCGAGTTTTGTCAATTTTCAAAAGATATAAATGACACGAGCTTTAGCGAGTGTCTTTCTGTAACTTTTGAAAATGTACTACCGAGAGTGAGATAAATACCATACTCAACAACCACGAGTCGTGTGATCTGTTTCTACCACAATCTCAGTCGGAAACAGCTGGAGTATTTCCAGATTTGAATAGCATACACACATTTTGTTGACAAGGCTGGCGTGGTGATATGACCCATATGTAAAAAGTCACTCATTAATATTCAAAAATGACTTTTCTTTTTTACAAATTTAATCATTTTCAAAATTAATGTTTCAGCAACAACTTCGTGAAAAAATCAAATAGATAAACGTCTTTAAATATTGAGAGTATGCAATATTGCATTCATTTATATAAATTAACCACGGACTATATGCGCGTAAGCTATCGTACGAAGTCTGCCTCTTGCCTAGTGATGAAGACGAACTAATCGCTATCAATGTCCAAAACCATAGGCCTGGGACGTTTCTTCGTGAGGTTCTATGGTTGACGTTTATAGTGAGCGTTCCGCAGTATACAGGCCCTCCAAATATTCATAACGGGACATGGGGAGAACGACATATTTTCCGACAATTTTACAGATCTTGTTTTGGTTTCACGTCTCCGGGTTTCACGACCTGGACACGCGACGGTATGGCGTCGAAACGATATCGAGCGTCTGTAGCAATCTTGCCTGAAACTAGCGATCAACTCTTTAAGCATCATCTTCTTTTGATATTGCCTTAATAACCCCCCTTTCCCATCGCATAACCACACAAAAGTCACCAACATTTGCCGGATGTTGACAGCAGACGACGTAAACAAAACAGCACGCGACAAAAAGCGCGTGAAAAAAGTCGTCCGGTCAAGGTTCATCTTCTCGACCAATCAAAACTACGGAAGGTCATATAGCACGTGTGGTGTATAACTCATATTTATTCAACAGTCTGCATGTTTATACAATGATCTGAGAGTGGAATAACACAGCGTATTGTGGTAGAAATACCTTTAACCTCAATAAAAAGCATGAAGCAAAACAAAGGGCAAACTGTTTTTACGCCACATCATAAAACCGTTATCACATATCATAAAATAAAATCGTCCATTTTAATGGTTTTAATCAAAAATAATGTTTCTTATACTTTTAAAAAGAATGTACACAATATATATATAAATGATCGCAACACATATAAAGATTACTCAGCAAATCGTTGTATTATTTTGTCAAGGCTTTCTGTTGTAGCATGTTACAAATCAATTCACATGGGTCTACAATGTTAAAGAAATAAAATAAAAACAAATGAAGATTTCCTAAATGAGAGATGGAGGCTTATAGCGTTAACCAATCTGACAATGTCTTGAATGCGTTGTCAAGCTTAGAACAATCACGACGTCTCTCCTCCCAAATATCACAAGGAAACATTGGACACATTATGTGATACTTTTTATCGTTCAACGAAAAACACAAGGACAACAGATACAAAAGTGAACATTTATTGATCATAGTTGTGAAGCTGATAATAATTGTGAATGAGATCTCTAGGATATATTTGACCATATATGAAAGTTTTATTTACGTAAACATTGAGATACAGTAAAATATCAAGAGAAACAACTTATAGATAGGCATCTGAAAAATTAAATGGAAAGCGGATCCACATACAAACACTGTTTTTCAATACCAACTATAAAACCACCGATATCAATATCTAATCAGTCATATTAATACAATGAAAACGCTATAAAAGATATGAATTACCATATTGATTTAATTCGTTTATAATCATGCATTGTTTGACCGTTGTCATGTAAACATCACGCTGCACATATAAAAGGACTATACAACTCTGATGGGCTTCTCTCATAAAATATGAAAGTTAAATAAACCTAAAAAATATCAAGACAAAATGTAAGGTATGATTATTATACATCTGTCATCAAAGGTAGTGGCGATAACGCCTTTGTATATTTGACATTATATCAATAACATATTTATACAATTGACAGTGTATTGATAACATTTACATTTTACAATATATCGATAACATATTAACATAATTGACAGTGTATTGATCACCTGTATATTTTATATTATATCGATAGCATATTTATATTATAATTGACAGTGTATCGAAAACCTGTATATTTGACATTATATCAATAACATGATTACACAATTCACAGTGTATTGATAACCTGTTTATTTGACATTATATCAATAACATAATTACACAATTGACAGTGTATTGATAACCTGTTAATTTGACATTATATCAATAACATAATTACACAATTCACAGCGTATTGATAACCTGTTTATTTGACATTATATCAATAACATGATTACACAATTTACAGCGTATTGATTACCTGTTTCTTTGAAAGTATGCGGGGATCATGCTGTTCCTCCTGGTGGCGAAGATCACTGGCATAATTGTGTGTACTACTATGAACACGTGGGTAAGTCGTCCGTTCTCATTGGTGAAAACCGTTCACGTGGTTAATTCAGACGATTATACTTAATAAATCCTATCCCAATCGTTAGTGTTAATAGGCCGTAAAACACAAACAAACAAAACTTCATGTTTTTGCAATACCGTATTAGCTATTTTTTCACTTGTCATTTCTCCAATAGACCGATAGTGATATTCGCATCTGTATCTAAAGGATACGATGTGGGAGAGAAAGAACAAGTTTAAATTTCCAATATCACAACAACAGATCGCTATAATTTAGTTCCTTTTTGTGTGGGTTGATGCTGTGTTGCCTTTTGTTCCTAGGGAAAGGGCTTCGTATAAGTGGTTAAACTTGTCCCCAATCCTATTGCTATATCATATCGGTAACAAAATATGTTTAAATCAAACAGATCGATACAATTGAGTACTTTTTTGTGTAGGTTAATGCTGTCTTGCCTTTTGTTTTATTATTTTATTTCCTATTGTTTACTTCTGTCCTTGTGTATTGATGAATTGGATTGTTTTCTATTTATTTCTTGACACGATAGATACGTCAAACTTTTAACGTAAAAGTGAATAGAAAATAAACCACAGCGCCGAAACACAAGTTTGAAGTTATAATTGAAAACTTTGACAAAAATATCACAGAGAATTAGGGAGAAAAATCAGAAATCCAATATGACAATTGAAACCAAGCGTCCCGGCAAATTAAGGAATAATAAAACAAAAATACCGATTGAATATAAATTGTTACTTTTCCGAAAGAAATAAAGTAATTATTTTATTCATCATACATTTGCAGAATACATAATGCTATCAGTACAACTCTCGTACCAGGTTTTAACTTCATCTTTTGATGAGTCAATTATAAATTAAATGTTTATACAAATATTGACGTCGTATATATTTCTGTATTGACTTGTTTACTTTTCAAATAAATGTTTCTTTTCTCCATATTTCTAGTGATTATATCAAACAATTAAAATATCCACTCATAAATGTTTCAAATCTTTCATTTATACAATGAAAAACCTAGCCTGCATCCCTAGACTATTGGCACAATACGTCTGTATTTATGTTTTCGTTTGACTTTTTTTCACAATGTTTTTATGTTCGTCGTCAGGAGAATGTAGCACGACATTTCTAGTTCCAGTAATACAACTATCTCAAATCCGCAAGTTCATCTCTGAGCGAACTGAAAACTCCATCTCAACAGAACCTTACCCAAGAGTGAAGTCTAGAACAAATATTCGATTCCGAGCAATGAATGATTAAATGAAACCTGAGTTTTACTGAATGTTTTTTCCAAGCCGGGTGTCGCACCTTCGCCTGTAAACTGATATAAGTACAAACGCCTAATAAGGCTCATTAGCGCACAGTTGACGGGGACCAATTAATACTGGAGGTTTTTCTTTTTCAAACATTTGTAAATGAAGTCCCATGGGCCATAGTGTGATTTTGTTGTAGCATTAATATTTAGAGTAACAATTCATCGTTATATTTCCATACACGATTTATAGGAAGCCACATAATGTCAGGGTGGTTTGACTGCCAATACCCATCTAATATTTATGTATGATGGAGTGGCGTTCGTCATACACTAATAGCCACACTAACAGTACGATCATATTCGTGATAGAACCCTGCATAAATATGTAATGGGGTCGTTTTTGTGGGATATTCACATAAAAGATACCGGAAGCTGAAGTAATTGAAAACTCGACTGTTGAATAGTTTGCTCGATGAGGATTCCTACCCAAAGTTGTTTGATGAATAAGAGATAAGTATGTTAATCACTTTTAACACCAAATAAGGCAGTACATATTAATATGTTAGTAAGTCGATGACGAAAGCAAACAAAGTAAACATTTAAATGTGTCTATATTGTTCCTTAACATGTGTATTTATCGTTTATTTAAGTAAATATTGATTCCATTTTCTTGCTATTTGAGAACCTCTTGCAGATACGAGGAAAGAATAGAGCTGTAGTATCCCTCTGTATGTTGGAAGGGGTTATTATTGCGTGGTCCCTTGCGTGCAAAATATGGGGTTTTCCTGCGTCCTTCGCCTATGGGAAGCTGAACAGACCAAACAAGCGATTTTTGACATTTTACAAGGCTTTTTCGAAAATGCAATATTTTCATATATATGGTCTTTTCATCAGTCAAGATATGGTGGCTTGAATTTAATACCAAGGCCTATTTCTATGATACAGGTTAGTTAAGCAGCGATATCCATATTGGTTCAGCACATTTTACCTAGGACTGTCACACAATTAAGTTTATTGTGTATGTCTGATAACAAGTACAGACAATAACAACAGAGTATAGCATACATCTGAAAGACTTTCAGTTCAACTGATCCACTATTTGTTGGGTTGAAAGTTGATGTTAACGGCGGTGATGCCAGTGGAGTGATGCCAGTGGAGTCCAGTGGAGTGATGCTGGAGTGATGCCAGTGGAGTCCAGTGGAGTGATGCCAGTGGAGTCCAGTGGAGTGAAAAAGGCCTTGGGTGCTTCTCCTGTATCTGATATGAATTTTTGAAGTCACATTTCAATCCAAGATATTTTACTGATTTGACAACAAGTATGACCTAAATAAGTCATACGAATTTTTTAATTCAAAGTAATTTAAGTCACACTTAGTCTTATAGGTAGTTATTTCATTTCTTGCCCTGCAATTAAGAAGGAATTGGCATATCATATGAAAAAAACCCCGTCGGAAATAAGAATTTGTCTATGTTTGAAATGCTATCTAAGTCTTATTCACTAGCTCACATATGTTTGTCTCTAACAACATTAGACATTTTTTTATATCGTGAGATTATTCTCCACCATTGCTTGCTTACTTTCGTCCGCAAATCACCAACGAAGTCTAGAGCATAGCCTCTTGTGTCACTGCTCGTGTGTTTAATTGACGTACTATTTTGTTGAACGTCGGTAAGCCTCTTCGGGGGAGACATGAATAGAAGAGTTACCTCCCCTATATCGCTTATTTAAGAATTTAGTGTTCTTTAGATATAACAGAGCTGGTAGATCCATTTGTTTGATTTTGATAGCCCCCTCCTTTGTCTCAGTCCCTGGTTGGATTCCCTCGCGATGGTATTCCCTTTTGAACCAGTCATTTTATGTTCTGATTTATATACATTGTTATAAAAGTTGTGTGATATTCGTGTTTCAACACTTTCTTTTCTGATTTGTATAGTTTTATTTTCTGAATACCCATAGTTTTTCATTTGTTTCCCTAGCCTCAACACACATCGTATGTTTGTTTTTGGTGTAACATGCCTTAAGGTTCTTGCATTATATTATATTATTTAAACACTCCAAATAATTTTATCTTCGTCAACTTTGTCTTAGGGGTGCACTTGCAAATCAAAGAGGTTATCTCATAACTGTAGAAAAGAGCTTTTTTAAAACTCTTTTATTTACTTCTCAAGTTCTCTATGCAGAAGACACATAACCTGTTTCCCAGGGGGAGTTTGGAGATGGATGGGGTCGGGGATGTGTTTGAAAAAGGTTGTTATCCGTTCTGTGAATAAGCGACATTGGTAGTATCATTCAGTTTAATATTTTTATATTGACAACCTTGACTCATTTTGGTGTTTCGCAAAATTCAAAATGAAAAACAGAGTTAATGTATAAGTTTTTGTAAAGCTGGTCTGCAGATCATTATCAGAGTGATTTTATTATTCATCGTTCGTTTTGTCTTTTCTTTCGAATAGTTTTTTTTCTATCGAGGCTTATATGTAATATCTGGATATCCTTTTTTATCGTCATATCCACTTGGCTTTAGTAAGATTGTTATTCTAATTAAAGGTATTATTTCCTTGATATTCCGCTGTCCGGCTATTTGTGAATATGACTTGTATTGAACTGGTGTTTTTAATCACTTTCCGTGTGTTCTATGCTCAAATAGCGATATTATCTGTTTCTGACCATCAGGTAGACGATCAGTTGACTGCAGCTCTTCAGTCAACCATAACCGACAAATATGGCGGCGGTGACGTCACAGATAGCATCTCAAATGCATGGAATTATGCATTTGTTACGGTAGGTCATGTCGACAGGATGATACTTATTTCACTTGCGTCAATACAGCCTGTATTTGAAGCCAAAAGTTGGTTTCTACAAAATGGTTTTTAACATGTGGGTTAGTTGTTGCCAATTAATTTTGATTTGTCATGTATACCTATATATTGATCTTTTGTGTTGTTGATGCAGTAGTGCCAACAACTGCTCATATAACAAACTGTCCACCTCATGTAATTCGAAATGCGTTTCTTTCAATAAAGCAGCCTGCTATACATAGCCTTACTTATTATGCTTCTATGTTTTCTCATATATCGGTTATTTCGAACTACCTCAGTTTATGAATGCATGCATGTAACTTTCAAATATTTAATGAAGTAATTGACCATTCTGAAATCATATACTTTTGTGCTGAAACGTTTATATAGCTTTACGGTAACCAACTATTTAACAGAGTAGTAACGTTTAATTTTTGTCTGTTAACAAAGATGAGAAGGATTTATAGAAATATACAGTACTTATTTCTTTATCATGTTTGAATGTGTGTATTGGTACAATTCTTTTCAGGTACAAATTTATGTAATAACTTCAATCACGGTTTCTTCGTTTGACACTCTTTTGGAAGGATATGGATATGACAGTGAGGTAACATTAAAAGACATTAATATTGTATTCACTTAAATGCAAATGTTAACAAAGTCAAAATTATTGCGTTTGCAGTATAAATGTTGTGGCATAAAGACGTATACAGACCTCCACTCCGCTGTCAAATGGAATAGAACCGGAAGTAGTGATGTTATACCGGTCACGTGTTGTGTTTTACCCGGAAGTTACCCAAATTATGGAAATCCGACGGATCCGTTATGCAAAACGACACCAACAACGCTCAACTCATACGCTTCCACGGTACAGTGTACGATAACAAACATTCTGGAGATTTCACGGCAGTACATATTACTGACTATAACATACATTTTCATGAACATACTATAATCTATTACGAACGTTAAATATATGACTGTAAGCTGTTATTATCACAGTAAAACGTAACTTTACTGCCAATAGTCTTTCATGACATATTTATTAATGTATATAACATGATTCCGTTGGTAAACAATACTGTTTTGTCGTTCACCCTGACTTCCAGGCACATTGTAGTATCTAACCAAATGATCGAGTCGCTATCGATGTTAGTAAGACAAGGTTCATTGTTATCGAATGTCTTCTTGGTGTTAAATAATAAAATTGACCATACAAAAGTAAGATTATTACAACAATAACCATTAAACATCAATATTTAGAAATTATCAAAAATCATAATATCTCGAGTTATAAAATGATACTGGTGTTTTCGTTATTGTACTCTCTCTCTCTCTTACATCACAGGGTTGTTACGACCAGATAAAATCCTTCCTTGATACATACATGGCCTATTTTATCGGTTTAACCAGCGCCATATTGTTCCTTGAGGTAAGTTAACATTTTTAACCACGGCTGATCGAGTCTGATTCAATATTATTTTGAATAGAAACATCATGGTCATCTGTTACGTTGATTTCCCTTTTTCCATGTGATTAAAGATACTTGAAGTGATATTTTACTAGTTGCAGAGTGTATATTTATTTCATGACATATGAAATGATATCGTCTATTAACTCATTCGATATCTTAGTTAATTCGAGAAGAGAAGTACTAAATCATTCAATTCCCTAGTTTTTCAGTGATATTTTCTAGTTGGTGGTGAACATAAATGAAGAGAACATCTGTTATTCTTGGATTCAAGTACATATCAGAACGTAACACACTTTATTAAAATTAAATTATTTATTATTGTTGGTACATAATATTTGCTTCCTTCTAGAAACAAATGCATTGGAAAAATCATATATTAAATAACAATTCCGCCTCTTTTTCAGTTAATGACGATCATAGCGGCGTTCCTGATTTTACGAAAGAGGAAGAAGACGGAGCCTCAGTTTGGTAAAAAAGATGTTAACTTCCGGTAACACCGATTATCCGGAAACACAAGTTCGCGGGAAATTTTAGAACAAACTCCATGCCATATATATTGCTTTTCCCAACCAAACGTAGGTCATCTTGAACAAAACATCACCCTTTAGGTCTGACAGTAGACGCGAGTGTCTCTATCGATTGTTCTGATGATCCCGCTTCTAGATTAAGAATCTCCGTTCCACTGCCAAAAAGAGAAGCTTTCCATGGCTTGCAACAGCAGGTCTCCACTAGAAATACAAGGAAAACATCGGAGAGAAAATCCATCTGGGTAAGGACGAACGGGGATTCGATGAACAGAGACGAAGGGGCCACCAGCTGATTCATATTTATGACCCCATTTTAACATCTACTAAGGGGCGGAATGGGTAAACATGTAACCCGACCCCCAGACTGCCTGCAGTATTAGAGTGATTTGGGCGAAATATCTCTACGATGTTTGACCACGGACCTTACCTGATTCGGCCCCCTGTGGCTTAGGGAGTTGTTTTCAATGGTTTACAGTCGCGACACCGGTCATTTATACTCTTTGCTTGACAAAGGAAACAGACGTTTTCGAAATCTCTCAAAATAAGTTTTCTATTCCTGTTTGTGTTCAAAATAAACTTAGCCTTTGTTGCTTTAACCATTTGAGCTACCTGTTGAACTGTAGTACACCGGCCTAATCGCATCACACTTGTTCCTAAAACAAAGTTAGGGGAAAGTTACTACATGGGCCAGGGATCCTTGTCGTGGTCACATGACTAGTGTTTAGATTATGATAATACGATGACGTGAATAGACGTCAGAGCGTTATGAAGACAATGGGAGTGACATCCGTCCAGTAACACAATGCTATTCTGACCATTATATATTATTATATATTTTGACGAAAGAAGGGGTTTCTTATCAAGAAAATAATGTTGCAGCGTTCGCGTTGTTGGACACATTTGGTTGTAGATTGACTGTTGATTCCAACTCTCTGCTCAACGCTCTTCTTGTCGATTTCTTAACACATATTCACACATAATTTATACTTCATAATTAACTCTAGCAGTTTGCTGTATTTCACTGGATGTTATCGTAAAAGGCGAGTTATGCGCCCCATTGCTGAATCGTGTGAATTTGTCTATGTTTTTGTGTCTGTTTTAGAGGACTTTGAAAAAATCAATCAGCTGTCCCTATTACAACGCTTTCAGCATTCGTTTGTTTTCCCCAAGGAACGTGTAACGTTAGATAATAATAATAATAATAATAATAACTAAAGACTGAATTTCAGGTCGATAACACTTTGAGTCAAAGACTAACAAGTGGTCGACAGTAAAATTTACAATATTTACATCATGATATTATTAAAATTACATCATCACAAACAAGGTGTATCACAGAGAGCTTATGGAAATTGTCTATTAAATAAATGTAGTGCACTCATAAAGCTCATGATGCGTACATAGAAATTAAAACACCTAGCAAGTGTCCAATAAACATATATGCCAATGTGACAAATTGTAAAAATTCCACAGACTATATGCTTATATAGCATTTGTTAAAAGTATAGGTTACAATTATTTAAATTACAAAAGGTATATTAAGAGTTTAAGTGATTTACTGGACAATCAAAGAATAGAAGACAAACTAAAACATTCATTACAAAGATGTAAAACAAATCTACTCGGATAAACTGAGGATTTTCTTTTTACATTCATATTTAAAAGTTTGTAGTTTTTGACTTTCAGTTACATTTTCTGGCAGGTTATTCCAGAGAGATAGTCCATTATATTTGAAGGAATTTTTGATTCTTTCTGTCTTGTGTAATACGTATTTACCTGCGGTTGCTGATCTAGTTTTCTTGTCATGAACATTGGAAACCATGGTATTACATTTTAAATTATATTTAACTCTGTTTCTGAAAGGTAACCACTTAAGCTTTACAAATAGTTCTTTCCAAGAGACGGTGAAGTATTCATTTTTGCATTCTTTCTAGTTTGTTTACAAATGATTGAGAACAATGCCCCCAAACATTAGAAAAATAATCCAGTAAAATGAAACAGTTAAAACATGTAATTCTTGAAGACACAGGTAAAATTTTCTTAATTCGACATAGTTGTAATATTTTGAAATTTACTTTTTTAATAACATCTTGGGCGTGTTTATCCCAGGTAAGGGTATCATCAATGCACACACCTAGTAACTTTTCATGCCTTACATGTTCTAATTACTACCTACTACTGTGTCTGCTCTTTGCATTGATGTATCGCCTGCATACATACACAATTCACATTGGTTTGAGCGAAGAGGCATGTGTTTAAATACAATAAAAATATCAGTGGCCCAATAATAGAACCTTGGAGCACACCAGTTGTTATTGCACATGGATTACTTAAACAAGATTTAAAAGAAACAGTCTGTAAACGATGTGATAAGTGAGATGTAAAAAAGTATAGCATTTTCTGAACATCAATATATTTTCATTTTCTGAAGTAAAATTTTGTGATTAACAAGATCAAATACCTTTCTAAAGTCGATATACATAACACCAATAATGTTACCTTTATCTATCTCTTCATACCCTTTAACATGAAAAGGCAAAGCCTTAAAAGAGCGTAGCTTTTGTTGATTTCTGATATTTGCGGATTCAGAATACTGCTTTCAGAATGAGGTAAGATTTATTTAAAGTCGGCAAGTCGAGGAATAACAATAAAACAAAAGCTCTAATGAGATTAAGACCGACATAACAATAGGGGAGATAGGAGCAAGTTTGGCCCATTTTTATTAAAGTCCGTTCTGGAAAGTATGGCATCATGCATGTCCGTTTTTGAACATTATTTAATTTTCACTGTCGGAAGATCGGATGGCCGAACGAGCCCTGCCATGGGATAAGTTCGGACAGAAATTCGGGTAAATTCGGCCCCATTGGAATCAGCTTAATTATGACGTCATAAGTATGCAACGTCAGATTTTACCGCCAATTTTACGACTTTTTATGTGTTACATGGGCCGAACCTGCCACGGTTTCATTGGCC